TTCAATTGCAAAGACAATTAATTAATCGACTATCGGCTTGACTCTCTAAAAAAAACTCCCCAGCAGAGTCGCCAAGCTGTCGAAACGATTTTTCTTAAAAGTGAAAAAATGTGAGATTTTAAAAACCACATTAATTTTTAATTTATCTATTTCAACTGATTTTTAATTTAAAAACAAATGCGATTTAAAAACCTCTCGTTTCGAAAATTTTTGGATTTCCTTTACGATCGAAAAAAAAAATACAGTTCAAAGAGTCGCCACCAATCTTTGATTAGGGTGTGATTGGGCACCCAAAAATTGTTTGTTATTTTAAATAAAAATTAATTTTAATTAAAACAACAAATTGAGGTATGTGTTACCAAAATCCGAGTTCGGGAGTCGGTTACGTGTGGGGAAGGATTAGCACCCCCACAACGCCCTAAATTGGTACCTAGTCGATTAATTAACGTCTTTGCAATGAACTTTACAAATTCGAATTTATTTTGATTTTTGATCCCATAAAATAAAATGTAAATTTAAAACATTCAAAAACACTTAAACAAATTAAATTAAAATTACCAAGTAATTTTAGAAAGATAAAGAATGTTCGATTATTTACAAATATCGAGACCATATCTTAAAGATATAACAACCTTTTCTCGATATATTTAAATAAACGAACATTTCTTTTTCTCTCGTTCCCAAATTTTAGTGTGATGGATCAATTTTTAGGTTTCACTTTCGGGTAATACCCTTTTAATTTAAAATTGTTTTAAGTGGGTTGTCTTAACTGATTAGATATCCACTTTCGACAATTTTAAATTAAAAGTGTATCCCGGAAGTGAAACCTAAAAATTGATCCATCACACTAAAATTTGGGAAAGAGAGAAAAAGAAATGTTCGTTTATTTAAATATATCGAGAAAAGGTTGTTATATCTTTAAGATCTGGTCTCGATATTTGTAAATAATCGAACATTCTTTATCTTTCTAAAATGACTTGGTAATTTTAATTTAATTTGTTTAAGTGTTTTTGAATGTTTTAAATTTACATTTTATTTTATGGGATCAAAAATCAAAATAAATTCGAATTTGTAAAGTTCATTGCAAAGACGTTAATTAATCGACTAGGTACCAATTTAGGGCGTTGTGGGGTGTAATCCTTCCCCACACTAACCGACTCCCGAAACTCGGATTTTGGTAACACATCCTCAATTTGTTATTTTAATTAAAATTAATTTTTATTTAAAATAACAAACAATTTTGGGTGCCCAATCACACCCTAATCAAAGATTGGTGGCGACTCTTTGAACTGTATTTTTTTTTTCGATCGTAAAGGAAATCCAAAATTTTTCGAAACGAGAGGTTTTTAAATCGCATTTGTTTTTAAATTAAAAATCAGTTGAAAGAGATAAATTAAAAATTAATGTGGTTTTTAAAATCTCACCTTTTTTTCACTTTTAATGTAGATGCTCGTTTTTGTCCGGAAGCTTTGTGTCTAGTACACGATATAAATTTGGACCAATGGAAGCCCAAATCAGCCCAAAACAGTATTGTTAATTCCAGTCCAGTCCACGTGAAGTCTTGCATGAACAGTTACAGGAAAATTAAAAACAGAAAAACATGGATGTCATTTTGGGAGGAAACTAAAAGAGTTGGTTTTTTTTATTGGGAATTAACTACTGAAAACTGAAAAGGGGAGGAGGCTCATCGACAAAAAGGAGAATAACCACTCATACGAAGGGGAGGACAGAGGGAAAAGGGGAGGAAAAAAAAAGACCATCTGGTAATCAGAGAGTAAAAAAAAAAGCAATTCCTTCTTCGTATTACATCCATTTTTCAACAAATACAAGAGGAAAAATTTCAGAAGCAATTGAACACTATTGCGAAAACCAGTGAAAGCAATAAAATACGAGGAATTCCGAGGTATTCTTCTTGGGTGTTATTTACTGCTTATATATATGTTTTTCTTTCTATGTGTGTACATGTTATTTTGCAATCAGAGGAAATTAAGCAATGATTAAATAACACCCTTTCAAAAAAAAAAAACAGAATCCATGTGAAATAGTGTGAGCATGAAAAGTTTCCAAAATTTCTTCATTTTCTTTCAAATCACAAACAGTTTTCTTGGAAACTAAAGCAATGATAGAGAATATGAGTTAGTTTATATACCTTACTCGGTCTCGTTTTTACTCGCATCGGAGGTACCTTAGGTCAGTTAGTTGGGTGCCATACCTTACTCGGTCTCGTTTTTACTCGCATCGGAGGTACCTTAGGTCAGTTAGTTGGGTGCCGGCGAGTAGCGGTTTTTCGTGGTCCACCATTCTCGTAAGAGTAGAATGAAGTCCTGAGAGTTTTAAAAATAGAATAAAGTTTTAGGTTCAGTTTCCTGGGTTCGAGTTCAAGGCCGAGGTGTTGAGATTCTTCGGAATTGTAGGGTAATATTAGAGTTAAGTTTTCATTTGGAATTTTCTTTTATGCGTAAAGAAATAAATAAAAGAAACTTAGGAGTTAGAGTAATTTCCATTGCCGGAGAAATAGAGAGTCACCATTGAGGGTGGTAATCGGGATGGTTTACTCGATCGTGAATGTTAGGGAAGTGCCAAGGTCCTCGGTTAAGAGTGGGTTTCTTTTGGGACGGAAAAAAATCACAAACAATCAAGAAATTAGCCATCAGTAGTAACGAGAGAACCCGAGAGTTGACCATTATCAACCAGAAACCACAAAATAAGAAAAAAGACAATCCTTACCTTTCCCGTCATTAGGAGTTAGGTCTGTCCACCCGAAGTCGGAACCGCCTAGAATCGCTCAAGGTATTCTCTTTTGGCCTTTGATCTGTGTGTTTTAGGGATTTAGGGAGTCTCGGTGGAGTTTGGGTTTGTGAGGCTTCGGTTCGGTAACAAGGGGTAGAGCGAGGTCGTGAGGTCTTGGTTCCTCAATGGAGCTTTCGAGGGTGAGTCCGCGGTGGTCGAGAGTTTAGTAGTGAAGGTTGGGGGTTGTTTTGACCTTTGGGTTATGGTTTCTTGCTGTGAGAGATTTGAAGCTTAAGGGTTCAAGGTGATTTACGGGGTGGACTCGAGGTTGTGTGGATCCTCATCGGAGCCTTGGGCGGCGGCCATGGTGGCCACGGCCTCGTTTGGTTGCTTTGAGAGAGAATGAGAGGAGCTTTGAGAGAACGACAGGGGAGGGGAGAGTTTATTAAAGTGAGGCGGCACCGTTTAGGACCTGCGCTAGGAGAGGGTTAATCACGCAGACGTCCCCTGCAGTTCTCATATGTTTCGTTTTAGTCCTTGCTTTGGTGTTGTGTATATTTCGAATTTGGCTCTTAACCTTTATGTTTGTTACATTTTAGTACGAGCCATGTTATTTTAAGTTTTGACAACTTTATGTATTCGGCTCTTAAATTTCAGAATATTTATTTTAATCCATCTCGCTAGTTAAGTCATATTTTGTGTTGTTGATATTTTTGGCCTGTTGTTTCGTGTTCTTTTATTTTAGTCCTGTAACGAGTCTTTGTGTTTTCTAATTCTGTTCTCTTGTTTATGCATATTCTAATTAGTACCCAGTGTGTTACTCTTCTTTGTTTGTTTGTCTTCGCATCTAGCTTGTAATTTTTATATATGACAATTTAGTTACTTAGTATGCTTGTTGAGTTTAGTGTTTAATTTCTATTTTGTATGCTTAGTTTTAGTTTTCTGTTATTTTGGTCCCATGTCAGTATTGAATACGAGATTGTGTTATAGATAATAGGTTTTATATATATAGCAATTGATGTTATTTTAGTGTATGTGCATATTTATTTTAGACTAAGATGGTTATTCGAATGTGTGACATTATATGATTAGTTTTGCATGACATCCTTTTGTATAATTTGCATGTTAGCCTCATGTATAATTCGACATCGTTACATAATTGATTTAAGGGTAATACCCTTTTAATTTAAAATTGTTTTAAGTGGGTGTCTTAACTGATTAGAGATCCACTTTCGACAATTTTAAATTAAAAGTGTATCCGAAAGTGAAACCTAAAATTGATCCATCACACTAAAATTGGGAACGAGAGAAAAAGAAATGTTCGTTTATTTAAATATATCGAGAAAATGTTGTTATATCTTTAAGATCTGGTCTCGATTTGTAAATAATCGAACATTCTTATCTTTCTAAAATGACTTGGTAATTTTAATTTAATTTGTTTAAGTGTTTTTGAATGTTTTAAATTTACATTTTATTTTATGGGATCAAAAATCAAAATAAATTTGAATTTGTAAAGTTCATTGCAAAGACGTTAATTAATCGACTAGGTATCAATTTAGGGCGTTGTGGGGGTGCTAATCCTTCCCCACACGTAACCGACTCCCGAACTCGGATTTTGGTAACACAGACCTCAATTTGTTGTTTTAATTAAAATTAATTTTTATTTAAAATAACAAACAATTTTGGGTGCCCAATCACACCATAATCAAAGATTGGTGGCGACTCTTTGAACTGTATTTTTTTTTTCGATCGTAAAGGAAATCCAAAATTTTTCGAAACGAGAGGTTTTTAAATCACATTTGTTTTTAAATTAAAAATCAGTTGAAAGAGATAAATTAAAAATTAATGTGATTTTTAAAATCTCACATTTTTTCACTTTTAAGAAAAATCATTTCGACAGTAATTGGATACAATATACATATAGATTTCTTCATGTATAATATATACATATATATCACGTAGAATTGAATGACTCAACTCGAACTTAAAAATCATTGTACTTATTTAAATTATTCTAGTCTTGTTTTATAAATTAAATTTTATTTTAAATTTTTTAGAATAAAATTTTTGAAATTACGAATGAAGTCAAATAATTTAAAATTTTTTAACATTAACTCAGATATAAATAGTTAACATTAAAAAAGTAAAATTAGTTTTACTCATCCCTACTGACACTATATATATATATATTTAATGGTCGGAAGGCCCGAAATTACTCGCTGTCTCGAGGGACTTCGTCATCAAAATGTTAAATTACAATAAAGAAACCCCTCTTCAATCCCCCCTCCCTTTCTCCTTTTCCCTCCGTGTCTTGTATTGCACAGCTAGCAAAGCTAAAGGTATAATTTCCCTTCCTCTTTTGAATCCCCAAGTCTAGGATTCTTTCAATCCTTTGAATCAATCCTCAATACTTAGCTTAGTTGTTTAATTCTTCATCTCTTTGCTTATTTCTAAGTTAACACACACACACACACACACATATGATTTTGATACCGATATTGTGATACTGCTTTATAGAATATTTTAATTTTGTGATTAATTTGTTTTGTTGGCTTCGGATTTAGAAAAATGTCGGTTGTTCCCAGGTCAAAGTGCAGTTGACTTTTAAGTTTTGGGATATCCGGGTTTTTGTTTTTTTGTTGAAAAAGATAGGAAAGTTTGTTATCAGTGGATTCTTGAATCAAATGATTGCTTAATTCTTAATATTTTCTATGGTAATTGTGGTAATTGGGTAGAAATTGAAGCTTTTTGGTTGATACTGTTATTGGTGTTGTCTGTTTAAGATTTGCTTAATATTTTTCTAATTGTTATGGTTAGCTAGGTTGAACTCGAACAATTTCAAATGAGATGAATTATTATATTTTCCCTCAGTTTCTCTTGCTTTTGCTTAGTCTTTGAGATATTTCTATCTTACTTTGTGTGATTAAACAATTATCTACAAATTATGTTGTTCCGTCTTGTTACTTTCCAGGATTTGCAACATGGAGAGCATGAATAGTTTTTGGCAGTTGGGAGATGATCTTCGAGGACAATCAAAAGTCACAGGGGATCACCAATGGCTGATGGTTGCCTCTAAACTGGCTGAACAGACGAGGATAAAGGGTGAACGCATGAGCAATCTTGATCTTTCCAAGGGTCCATCTGAAATATGGACAAGGGATAAATTCGGTTTCCAGGAACACAACAAATTTGAGAACCTTAACTTCAGTATGCTAAACTTGGACCCCAAGATGGGGGATAATGTTAGCAAAAGCTCGTTCCAAAATGGTACTTACAACATGAATGTTGTTTACCGGAAAAACAATTGCAATGGCCTTGGAAATGGGAACCTGACTGGCAGCAAATATGTTGGCAACAATCATAGCAACAAAGATGTCGACACTAAGAGCAAGACCAACAATAACAACAGCAACGAGAACAGCAATTTGAACAATGCTGTTGACAAACGATTCAAGACGTTGCCTGCAGCTGAGACACTCCCAAGAAATGAGGTTCTTGGAGGATACATATTTGTTTGTAATAATGATACAATGCAGGAAGATCTGAAGCGCCAGCTATTTGGTAATTTCCATTTTCTCTTGCCAATTTTTTACCCTGTCCATTTTTACATGCTCCTGGGGATAAGTTCTGTCTATTTGAAAACTTCCATTCTCATAGATTTAATTAACGCTTCAGTTATTATTAACATTATTAGGCAGGATTTCTTACATGTCGCCGTTATCTCATTTTGATAGGTTTACCACCAAGATATCGGGACTCTGTTCGGTCAATTACACCTGGCTTGCCTCTATTTCTCTATAACTACACTACTCATCAGTTGCATGGTATTTTTGAGGTTTGTCCATCTGCATCACACTCATGTTACTTTCAGTTCTTGTCTGTGATTAGTTCATTTCTTTTCTGAATGTTAGCTGATGCTCACTTTTGCTGGATTAGGAATCATTAGGTAGCAAGATGTAATGATCATTTCATTATCTTTTGTTTTCGTGTCTCATGTATTTGTTTTCTTCTATATGTACAGGCAACAACTTTTGGGGGTTCTAACATTGATCCAACTGCTTGGGAAGACAAAAAGTTTAAAGGCGAGTCAAGGTTTCCCGCTCAGGTAAAGATAGTGCTTATAGTTTGTAGGAACTTGAATTTTATTCCCGTTGAAGATTGCGTGAACTCTGATTCTTTTTAATTTTTGTTCAATAGGTGAGAATCCGTATTAGGAAACTCTGCAGGGCACTGGAAGAGGATGCTTTTAGGCCAGTCTTGCACCACTTTGATGGCCCCAAGTTCCGTCTCGAGCTCTCAGTTCCCGAGGTATGACAAGCAATTATAAGTTCTCTTGCAACATCTTCTTCATTTTCCTATTTTCATGTAAACTCTCTGGTAATCAAAATATCGAACCCCGTTAGTCAAAACTCAAGATTTTTCATATCGTTCTTTTGCAGACGTTGGATCTATTAGACCTTTGTGAACAAGCAGGTTCTCCATAAGCAAAATGTTGCCGAGTGCAAATGTGGTAGGGTTTATGGTTATAGTAAGGCCGCCTGCTTTTCAGAGATTTGCCGTAAGAGCGCAAGCCGTGGGTTTAAAACCAGTTGGCGAATCATCTTTGGAAGAAGTGAGAAATGGCGTTAGCCAGCTGAATAAGAATTTGCATTTTGTGTATTGTGAAGAAGCTTGGTTAACTTTTGCGTTATATTCTTATGTATTAAAAATGCTACAGATACACTTGTAAGAGAATGACAACTATGTTTTAAGTCCTCAAAGAATTGAAGGGCTTTGAATTTTATGCCTGATTTGTGTTTTATAACTTTTTCCATGACTTGTTTGTGTTAACGCTTGGCCTTTGCCCCCCCCCCCCCCCGCCGGGAAAAATCGATGGCTTCTTTGGTTCTCTCCTCTCTCAGTTTCCCTTGGTCCGGTACTCCTTTATTTATCGGTTTGGAATCATTAGAGAAGACAAATGGAAGAATCAGGGTTTCGGTTGGTACCAAGTCACATGAATAGTTTTAAAATTTTAATTATTTTTAAAATTACAGAAAATTTTAATTAAAAACGTTATTTTATTATTTATTCATAAAGTTATAAAAAGAATTGAATAAGTAAATTCATTTTCATATATTGTTATGTGATAAATCATTTTTTTAATTTTAAAAAATTATTTACAGATAAACTCTCATAAATTTTAAAAATAAAAATGATTTACTAATAAAGAAACTATTTTTTAATGTAGTATAAAATTTAAATGAATTGTTAATAATTAAATTATATATTAAAATAATTCTTTAGAAAACAAAATTTAGCAGTAATAAAAATATAGTAGTTTTTTTTTTTGCAGACTTCCATTTCCTCTCAATTTCATACTTGGTAAACAATCAAATAAAAAAAAACTCATTCCAACAAAATAAAAATTGTTTTGGACAAAATGTGCATAGGGGTTTAAATAAAGATCCTAAAAAAAAACCCATGCGATCTTATTATTTCTCTCACATTCTCTTATAAATTACCTAAAACTTTCAAGAAAGAGGGTAAAAATTCCAGGATGCAGTACCAGTGACCGGTACGCCAAAATGACTCACTCAGTTAACAGAAGCCATGTGCCGGATCAAGTCGATCACTCGGGAGCTACAATAAAAGAAAATGACAATTAGATAAGAAGCACTCAAGGTATTATGAAAGCTATGGTTATAAGAAACCGTGTAAATTTATACCTGTAACCCCACTCGTTGTCGTACCAAGCAACAAGCTTAACAAAGTTGTCACTCAAAGCAATTCCGGCCTTGGCATCGAAAATGCTAGACCTGTTAAAACACAACCGAATCTTATCGTAGTCCCGATTGCAGTGTATGAGAGGCAGAAAATCAACTTTGTAAAAAGAGCATTTAGGAATGAAGCTTCGCACCTGGAGTCTCCGACAAAGTCTGTCGAGACCAAATCTTCATCTACATAACCAAGAATTCCCTTCATGTTGGTTTCAGATTCAGTCCTGCACAAACAAAAGACATAAGAGATGTAACCACTTAAGCATGAATCCTGAAGCTTGAAATATCGGTATCATTATAATTTTTAAAAAAATCCTAGCCCTTACTTGATGGCAGCCTTAATATCTTCATAAGAAGCTGCCTTCTCAAGTCTCGCCGTTAAATCAACCACAGAGACATCAACAGTGGGAACACGGAAAGCCATTCCGGTGAGCTTGCCATTCAATGATGGCAACACTTTGCCAACAGCCTATGCAATTACAAGATAACCACCGCAATCAACCATCACACTTCAATTCCAACAATGGAAATCTAACAATGGAAAAATACAGGGACTAGAATGTCAAATCTAACAATGGAAATATACCTTGGCAGCTCCAGTGCTGCTGGGAATGATATTGAAGGAAGCAGCTCTACCACCTCTCCAATCCTTCATTGATGGACATCAACTGTCTTTTGGGTTGCTGAATTAAAAAAAATTTGTTAGTTCAACAATACGCAGAAATTTGCAACAAAAAACAATAGAACACTATAAGTACTTACCAGTAATCGAATGGACAGTGGTCATAAGACCCTCAACAATGCCAAACTTGTCATGGATGACCTGTCACCATGTTTACAAATCAAGTACTACATTAAGATAAAAGAATTATTCCAATGCTTCAAAAAAATAACAGAACTCATTATTACTTACCTTAGCCAATGGAGCAAGGCAATTGGTAGTGCAGCTAGCATTGGAGACAATGTTAAGGTCAGCCTTGTATTCCTTTTCATTGACACCCACAACAAACATTGGGGCATCCTTACTGGAGCAGAGATGACCACCTTCTTTGCACCACCCTGAAAAAGCATTTAGATAAGAATACCAAACATGAGAACTTTCTGGGTCGGAAAATATAAGGACATGTTAATTCCAATAAATTTTTCATATAGCTATCAAATAAACCTATTATCAAGTCACTATCACAAACCTTCAAGTGAGCAGCAGCTCTGTCCTTGTCAGTGAAGACGCCAGTAGACTCAACAACGTAATCAGCTCCGGTCTCACCCCATGGAATTTCCTCCGGGTTTCTAACATCAATTGAAAACAAGTCAATTACATAGTTTATAAGAGGAAAATGTAGCAATAGTTTATAAGTGGAAAATGTAGCAATGCTCTTTGAGTCGATTACAAAATCCCTTTCGAAAGAAAGATTTATAACCACCTCACGCCGAAAACAGTGACAGGCTTTTCACCGAATAGCAGGGTCTTTGAATCCTTCACCTTAAGTTCATGGTGCTTCCATTGACCGTGAACACTGTCGTACTTAAACATGTAGGTCTGTGCAATATGATCATTAAATATTATCAATAATCTAATTATAAAGTTAAAAACAATAGCCAATTGGATTCTCTGTTTTTCAGTTAGTTAATCGTAAATCTCTAATATATCTATATTAGAGTAATCAGTAGCAATTGATATTGAAATTATTTCCAGATAAAATAGGTGAAAGAAAAATGTAAGAATCAGATCAGGAAAATTAACGTCAAATCATCATTTTTATCTACTAAAAACTATATCAGCTCTTTTCCACACAAAAAAATAAATCAACGGACCGATCTACTAACATGCAAACAATCATATACAAAGTAAAGTAAAATGTACGCGTACGGACCATGTAATCAGTTGTGATGAAAGGATCATTAACAGCAACGAGCTCAATATCGTCGCTTTGGAGAGCAACTCTCGCAACCAAACGCCCGATCCTTCCAAATCCTTCACGGAGAACCCAAAAAGAAATCAGATCGTATTTTTTTTAAAAACAAAAAAAATAATAAATAAAAATAATACCGTTGATTCCGATCTTGATCTTAGCCATGACGGAGAAACAAAAGCAAATGTTAACGATAAAAGATGTTGAGAGTGAAGCCCTAGTGACTGAAAACTGAGAATCGTAAGAAATGAGAATAGAAGGGTAGTTTATATAGGAGTGGACGCTAACCTAAATGAAGGAAGCGCAGTTTGACGGAAGTTTTTAGGGGAAAGTAGGGACCACCAGAAATAGTACGTGCCGATTGATTGGTTGAGGAAATGGTAAGAAACTGAAATAGTATTGGCGTGGGATGAAACTCTAAATAAATCTTGAATTATCTTTTCAAAAATGATAAATTTCAGGAATTAAGTAAATTATTTTTTAAAAAAATATGTCATATTAAATTATATAATCCTTTTAATTTGAAAGTGTATTTTTTTTTGGTTTGAAAAGACAAAAGAGTAATTAGCCATTTAACTAATATGAATTGATATTTTCTTCATGTATTCGATATGATCAAATCAATACGTTGTACTATAAAAAGTACTCTTCTATTCCCTGAATCTTTTTGTGTCAACTTAATGACCTTGATATTGTCCGATTATAACTGAATCTGTCTTGCACCAAATTTTCATGCAACCTGGAGACCTTTGCATATACCCCAAAATTCAGCTTCAAGACTAGTACATATACTTATATTCACTGCATGTCTTGTCATTCAATGATCTTTATAGTTTGTGCAACGCCACTTTCAGAAACAGAAACAGCCTTGATGGAACATTGAGGTGGAGTTTAGACGATTCTGTTCGGATGGTTCTGCTTTTGATTGTTGCCTGGGTTGTAGAGGTGAAGGTTATAGAGGTGACGTTCATTGCTTATGAAGGAGGTTTTTTGATTTGTTTTGAGAATGGGGAAACAGATTGTGAAGGAGTGTGTTGTAGACAGTCTTTTAGCTTAGCTTAAAATTGATCTCTTTCGGGTGGTTGTGGTTTCAGATACGATGTATTTTGATATGTTTTTTCACTGGCTTAGAATTATGATCAAATGATTGGTTGCTTTGAACTTTTGAAAGTTATAAAATAGTTATTAAAATTATCGAATTATTACAAAATGATCACTATAACATCATTATAAATTATAAAATTTTGACAAGATCAATGACCATTTTATAATTGTTTCATAAATTTAATGATCATTTTACGGCTGCTGAAAGTTTAGTAACCAAAATAACTTCAATGACGTATAGTGTATTTTATCCTTTTTATTATTGCAATATATTTTTTAGATTTTACTTTTTTTTGTTGTTTCTTAAGGAGGCGAATTTCTCCAAAAATCACCCTTACCTTTTTTATTTTTCTGTCAGACATCTTATCAGATATGTTTTCCGATCTAACATCCTTTACAGAAATACGCGGTGAATGGGTCGAGCCTTACTGTCGTCTGACACACGCGCCATATAGGCGCGGTGCATGGGTCGCTCCTTGTATAATTATATCCGCATTTCTCGGCTTTAAAGCTTTTCCTCTCGGCTATAAATAAAACGCTCTCACCCCGTAAACATTCACACAAAAATCCTCTCAACCGAAAACATCACACAACAATCATCTCAACCCGTAAATATCACCCGACAATCCTCTTATATTTGATTCAGAAGTTCGCTCGATCTTTCGTTGTAAGGTAATTTTTTTTATAATTATATATGATTATTTGAAGAAGAATAAATATTGAACTAATTGTTTTCAATTAATTTTTGTGGTTCTAAAATTAGAAAGCGAGAGCATACGTCAAAATATTTTTGCCGATACGGTAATAATATAAAATTATATTATTTAAATTATTTACGTTTATGTGTAAATAATTTATTGCGTTATATTTTAATTCATATATTATTTATTTAATTAGGTTTTTTTGCATATATAAGACTGTCTCACTTTCAAACTCTAAGAATGACGCGAATTTCAGC